GCCATTGTCTTTCAGCTATTACTACTTGTAGGTAGAGCAGTGCCAATATTTTCATTTTCTGCTTACCTCGTATATTCCAGGATCTCCAAATTCTAGACGCTGAAATGTCTCTAGCTTCTTTTCAGCATTTATTCTCTCTTTTCTTTCCTCTTCTGTATATTTGGCATCTGCCAACTCCTGCACCATTTGTTCAAGCCAGTTGGTTCCTGAAAGGATAAGGACACCAGAATTGCCTTCATTCAACTGCACTTTTCCATGTAAACCTGGTTGACAGGATATATTGTCAATCTGGTTCCATGTGAACCAGTCTTGTTTTATATTGTACTTTAGCCTTTCAACAAGTATGTGTGCTGGTTTGGGCTGCAATGGAATTAATTTTCCCCATAGTAGCTGGTATGGGGCTATGTTTTGGATTTGTGCTGAAAACAGTGTTAATAACACAGAGGCATTTTAGTTATTGCCAGGCAGTGCTTACACAGCACCAAGGCCTTCTCATAATGAGCCACCGGAGAGTAGATTGAAAGTGCACAAGAAATTAAAAGGGGACACAGCTGGGACAGCTGACCCCAACTGACCTAAAGAATATCCCCCAAAGGGGAATTTTGAGAGTCATGGCACTTGTCTTACTAAGTCACTGTCACATGTGATGGAGCCCTGGAGATGGCTGAACATCTGTCTGCCACTAAGAGATAATTCCTTATTTTGCTTTGCTTGCACACATGGCTCTTGTTTGACCTGTTAAACTGTCTGTATTTCAATTCATGACTTCTCTCACTTTTACTATTCTGTTTCTCTCCCCTGTCCCGCCAGGAGTGAATGAGCGAGTGGCCCCTGTGCGGCTGAGTTGCCAGCTGAGGTTAAATCATGACATTGGGCAATAATCAACAAGGGTATGACAAAAGCCAACAGGGACAGAGCTGTCAAGCAGATACTGTGAAGTGCCACCCTGCTTGCTTCAGAAGCACATCCCATCCCTCAGTAGAAGCAGAAGCACACCTCCATTGCTCTTTTCAACTCTGGCACTTTTTGGTTACCTCAGACTACTCCCTGTGGAAATTACTCAAGAGCAGTGGAGGTCCCAGCACAGGACCAAGTCATTCCTTGGCTGTTTCTGCTCTCCTTCCACAGTGCTGCCTTTGGGAACATTCTGGCAGCAGAAAGGGTCATCAACCAAACCACCAGACCATCAAGCTCCTGACAGCATCTTTGCACTAAGCTTAGCTGCATTGACCTCTGCATCCTGACAAAACTGGTGTGTGAGGGACTGGGCTCACAGAGCCAAATCTCAGCTTTCAACACCTTTCAACTTTCCACACCTTGTGTGGTATGTAGGTGGACCCTCACACATTTAAACCATTTCTGCCTATGTACAGCTCTACAGGCTGCACAAAAGGGGTTGTGATAAAGATCAACTTTCTCTTTTTCTGCAAATGACCTTATTTCTCTAAATTGAACAGGAAAAAATGAAGGAATCTGAAATGCCCACAGTGAAAGAGAGAGAAAATATCCAAATACTGTATTCTGCAATGCAGTAAGACTGTGGAAACAGTAGTTCCTCTGCTCTCATTAGCAGGATATATTCCTTGTATTGTCCTTGCAGAGAGTTGGGTAACAGCATACTTTCATGTATTAGCAGTGTGGTCAGAATATCAAGGGATATCATTATCTTGCTTTACCCAGCACTGGTGAGTTCACCACTGGAATACTGTGTGCGTTCCTGCACTGAAGCACAAATTATTTTGAGAATATGGAGAAAGTCTTATTGTACTTTCATGAAATTACTGAGAGCTGGAGGAAATGAAATGCATAGAAAGGCTCGGTTTGCTCGGGTGGAGATTAAAAAAAAGTCATGGGGGACTCTCGCTGCAGTCTTCCTCTCCTGGAGGTCATAATGAAGACAGTGCCTTTATCACAACAAGGGGATGTATGAATGCATTGATGTAAAAACAAGCAAACAAACTAAATCCCAACCCCCCACCCCCCCCAAAAAAACCACTGTCATAGGAAAGCACTGCAAAAGATTTCAGCGGGTGGTGAAGCTCCACCATCAAATGTTTCAAAACTCTTCTGGACAAGGCCTTGAACAACCAAACCTAACTTTGAAGGTTAGCTCTATCCCCAGCTTTGAACAGGAGGTTGTATTATTTGACCTCCAGATATGCCTTACAACTTCAATTCATGATCCTATGAACTCTGATGGTACCATAAGCTTTTCTTGGGAATTACTACTGTGCTAAATGATGGCTCAAACTTCTAGATTGCAGCACTTTGTGTTTGACTACTGATCAAAAAAACAAGACTCACCTGATTTAGGATAGCCTACTAGAATCACATCATCGCTCCTGGTTTCAAAGGATTTCAGAGCTTCCAAAGTCTCCGGGCTACTAACTGAAACAGGGAATAAAATATCTCTGTAGGAAAACAGCATGTCTTCTGGGGCAATCTTTTCACTCTCTGAAAAATATTTTTCCATTAATTCAACGACTCTTTCACTATTTCTGGTCATGTTTGTATCCTTCTGTAACTCTTCCAAAACAAATACAGACTGTCTTTCCACAATGCAGGAAAGCTTTATGCAACACATTAGCAAATCAGACCAGATGTTCACTCAGGGTTGAAGGTACAAGTCACTGATTAACTCTGTACTCTGTTAACCCTTTTGGACATTACAGGACTGGAGACTGACAATAGAGGCATAGGGTCTTTGCTGCAGCCAATACTAGGAAGAGGATATATTGGGGCAACAACTAATAGCATTCAAAATGTTAAATGAAACAAAAGAAAGACCTATAAAAGGTATTCCCTGAAATATTTTTAACTGTTGAGCAATGCAATGCAATTTGCAAACTGGACAAGTGGCATGTAGTGGACATGTGGACAGTGAATCTCAACCTGGCTTATTGACTACATTGATGGATACACATCCACCATGGCTTCCTTACAGATGATGGCTCTGTCCTGAAGCCTATCCCTGTAACATCGTCACTTTAGGCAGTATCTCCAGAGCTAAGGACAAGTACTATTTAAGCCAGAATTCTCATGATGAAATACTCACACTTGAGACTTTTATGTCACCAAATCCTACAGGAGGGTCACTTTCATATGAAGATCAATACTTAGGTTCTGCATTAATGTGAATCAAATTCTACCTGTATTACTTCAGTTCCATTTCTCTCTCCTAACATCCATAATTTAATCTTTAGGTGAAATTGTTCTTTACATGGCTGTTACTTGTATTCTAGCTGATAGCTTTTTAGAAGATAAATAGTATTGAGGTGCAAAAATAGATATCTCCACAGATCATCCAAACAGACAGACAATATAGAAAGGCTTAATTGCCCTGTGGAGGACCTTTCACTCTTCTTTTCATGCCCTTGAATATAGTATGAGTCCTGTTCACTATCCATATATCAAACCCTTGCATCACATACTTGTCTCTTTCATCATAAATGGCTGTTAGACACTTACTTAGTAAATCTAAACACAAGTTTAATTAAACATGAGGAGATGTTAAATCAAAAGCATAACTGTAAGACTTGGAAGATCGATTAAAGTTACTCACAGAGAATAAAATTATTTTTATCTCAAAATGCAGAACCATCAAAATGGACCATTTCATTGGAAATATTTTCTCTAACAGTGCTATTTTACTCATAAAAGTTTGAGACAGTGTTCACACATTATACTCTCTGTCAGTTTTGTTTTTGTTATTGTTTTCAGTTTTCTGTCCATGTGTTTACTCTGAGTTGCAAAGGAAAATTTCCTCCCCCTTGCCAATACTAAAGAGCATCAAGAAATTAACACTTTTTTTCTCCTGTCTTTGGAGCCAGCCACCTGAATCCTGAGGGAGCCAGATAAGACCTCAACATGAAATTTAACAACTTGTCACCTGAGCTACTGGGGACACAGGTGCCTCCAGGTCCTTTAACCCTTAGACTCTGATCTCTGTTTATGAGCAGGGTGCTCGATGCTGTCACAGCCACCTGTCAGTCTGCTCAGGAGCTGCAGAGGTGAGGGGTCAGAGCAGCCCTTTCTCTCTGGAGAGACTAGGGGGAACCGGGTGCCTGAGGATGCTGGGAGTCCCAGTCCCAGTGCTGTCTGTCCAGCAGCCAGCGTCTCAGGGTAAGCAGGTGACTGACTCATATGGCACAGCTCATATGGTCGCCAGGCAAAACTCTGACTTGTTCAGTTATCTACAGGAAAATCTGCCTTGGATAGAAATGCTGGTGTCAGAAGCATTTGCAGTACAACATAAAGAGAAAATTCACCTTAGCCAAAGATTTACCTTAGCCTTGTTTTGAAAAATGGATTGGGGAAAAGACATGAAGTAAGAGATGGGTTATTATAATTTTTCTGGTTTGTTCATCTTCTTAAAGCAAGCAGAGAAAAATACAATGTAAGCATCCTCTTCAGTGGAAATATATCATTTCAGGAATCATAAGTAACAAAAAAACAAGACCAAAAAGAAAGATAATTTATTTTTTTTATTTTGAAGATGGGTAAGGATCTAGCAGTAATAACATTTGAAAGCCACTCCTATTGTGTTAGACAATTATGTCTTACCTTGAAAAGAGATTCCCAAATTTTTCTGAATTGATTCTCACACTCACTGACTTCACATCTGCTGATGTTTCACTCCCTCATAATGTTAGTCATCCGTCAAGTTTCCTTACCTACATTAATTTTCTAACATGGCAGCTTGTCTTCTCTATCCTCCCGTCTCCCACCTTCTTACTCCACTAAATGAAAGGGCCCATAGTGTATCTTCAACAGAGCAAAAGTACATCGGGTGTTACTGCTTGAATAGCTTGGTCCTTCAGAGTGAGACTATAAGGGCACAAAGGGACTAAACCCAAGCCTTGGGATGACACAGGAGAGGATAAACTGCAGAAATAGGTCAGGGTCTGGTTTTCTGTCAGATCAGCGAGGACATGTCTATGTTTTATTTTAGTTTAGGTGTTCTCCAACTAATTTTAATCTAGTTCAATAGAGTAATGGTGATGTATTTTTATTTGAGGAATTACCCAGAGAGCTTGTCTTTCCCCTGGAAGCAGTGTAGCATCCAGTGTTTGCAAAGATTGTTTCCAGACTCAGTAACAACTACCTACATAATCTCTCACCCAAAAATGCTACAAAGGTAACAGTTTTTTAAGATTAATGATTTCACCTTCTCAACTAAAATAAATGTGATACGCAGATTTACTTCTCAAAGTCCATTGGGTCTGGAAAGCCTCACTGCAAGGGAAGGCTCTTGTGTGGTATCAGTGTCTGAAAACCCAAAAGCTGCCATGAAGCTACAATGGGATTCAGCCAGTGAGAACCCAGAACGCAACTCTAAACTCTGGTGTGGATCTAATGGGGGGCAAATTATCACATAAGAAGTCAGACTTGATAGACTTTTGCCTGTTCCATAAACTGGGGTGTTTGGTGAAAATATAATTCAAGCAAGAAAGGGGCACGGACAAGGGATCAGTAAGAACGCAGAAAGCTGGTGTGCTATATTACAAGATGCCTACAAGTATAGATCTAGAAGGGACTTTATGTGAATTTCTAGTCCTCACCTTGTACTGCTAAAGTATCAAGCATGATTATCTTTTCCCTGACAGATGAAATTTCTTTGCAGTCTGTGCAGAGCATCATTCTCCAGTTAAGACTGACCTGCAAACAGAGGCTGTAATAATTATTGCCTGTGTTCTAGGTATGGTACTCCTGTTACAGTAGACCTGAGTACGATTTGGTCATTTTTTTCCAGCACTGTCACCATGTTAGTTCTTGTTGAGTGTGATTCCTCAGGTCTTTTCATGCCAACTCCTGCATCACTGGTTTACCCCCATTAAGTACCTGTGCCTTTGCTTTCTCTTTTCTAAATGTAGTGTTTTACGCTTACCTTTACTGATCTTTGTGTTTGCTAATCTTTTCAATTTGCTATGTTCTTTCAAATTGTTTCCCCATTTTCTCAAGTACTTTCAGTCGTCTATTCTGATCTCCAGACTTAAAAGTCAATCATTTATTTCTAGCATTCCTATTTCTTTGCAAAACTCTACATGTCTACATATGTCCAGGCAGAACCAACATGCTTTAAAAGAGTGAAGCAAAAAGTCAAAGAATACTTTATTATTCCCTAGTGTATCTTTTATTTCTATTTCTTATCTGCTTAGTGGTGAATCTATAAATTGGGTGTGGTTTTTCCTGGTTTTAATTCAACTGTTCCTAAAGAACTTCATTTTGTTTCTTTTTCCAGAACAGGTGGCTGAAGTGCAATCCGCCTCTGGACAGGTCTGAAATACGGTGTCCACAGTGCCAAATAGCAATGGCAGTACAATATTGCTGAGTATAGTAATGTCTCGCACCATCACTCTTGGCAATCCCACTCTCTCAACAGAACCATTTTCAAGAAAGACACTGACAAACTGGAGGGGTTCTGAAGGAGGATCAAAAGGATGAGAAGGCTCAGGGACAACCTCATCACAGTATTTCAGTAGTTAAAGGGCAGCAACATAGAGGACAGAGGTTCTCTATTCACAAGGAGCCATATGGAGAAGGTAACAGGCAGTGGGTTCACATTGCATCAGGAGAGGTTTCATCTTAATATAAGAAAAAATTTTTCACAGTGAGAACAATCATTCACTGGAACAACCTCTCCAGAAATGTGGTAGAATCTGTCCTCATCACTGGAGGTCTTCAAGATGCAATAATCTCACCTAGGCTCCCTTTCTCACAAAAGGTTGGACCGTATCATTTTTCAACATCCTGGGCTGTTCTATGTTCCCATAAAAGCAGTGATTCTGAGCAAATCTTTCCGGTTGACACCAGCCCATAATCTGAAATCCATCCTGATTTTTTGCATTCAGAGAGATTAAAATCCTTAAGAATGCTGATCCTCATTCCCTTTCTTTCTTCTCCCTCTAGCTCTGATCCAGTTTGTGCTGAAGTCATGGAAGACATCCTTTGTCATTAGGTTTGTGTCAGATCCATATTTTTGCTAGTAATCTTTTCTGTGAAGATGTTGCTTGATTTGAAACATTTTTGAAGAAAAAATTATCTGCACAGTAAATAACTACAAAATAGTCTAGAAAGATGGGGTTTGGCTAGAAAGAAAAGGGGCATTTCCTTCCAGGTGACAGCTACTGGAACAGGGCTGTTGAATTTTTGTGAATATGATTAGTTGACACGTTTTTCAGCAAATGGGTGTAGCCAAAGCAAGCCAAAGATCTCACCATAAAACAAAAGCCTACTATTCATCATTGTCACTATAAAGGCTGCTGCAATGTGTTTACTACAGTAATTTTAAGGTGCTTTGATAATTTGATCTAATTTTCCAGTATATAGTATTCAGGTTATCAGCGTGTGCCTTGAGAAGTTCTTGTTCTGACCACATTTTTTTACTCTTCAGGCTTTACAGTACACTTCATACTTTAACTTTCTTCCGAGTTTAGTTCCTCCTACATATTCTTCAAATGCTTTGTCCATTTTCTCATTCTGATCTTCACTGAAAAGATTCTTCCAGTCGCTTACAGCACCTTCAGAGAAGTAAAGAAACTTGAACATCAAGAACACTTTTTCTATAGATCTGTCATTCTTATTCCATTGTGCACTAAATACTGTTGATCTATTTTTCCAGATAAAACTTTACTCATTTCTGCACCAATATAATTCTGTGAAATCAGTGGAGCTACATATCTGCAAAACTGCTATAATGCAAAAGAGAATACTCCTCTTCAGGTGACTGTGTTCAAAAAGGCAGCCTAAAGTCCTGGTTCCCTACAGCTCTCTATTCCAGTCAATTATGACTGACAAAGTGAAAGATCACGAAGAATTGATTAACAATTATCTCGCAGGAGGCAGAGCTGGGTTTCTGCTCCTCTGGCAGCTAGAGTTTTTATCTAATGACTTCTTTAACGTAAAGTGCATAAATAGATTGACAGCCAGTTGGCCTTCCCATTTCTGTGTCCCCTACACTACGCTGCAAAAATAGTTCCCTTTTGTTGCCCCTCCTTTGTGTACCTGATTCTTGCATGCTTGACTTACTCCTAACCGGTAAGAGTGAACAGGGGTTTGGCAGTGGCCCTCCTAAAAAGTGTGATCGTGCCACTCAGGTTGAGTTTGGCCCAGTGCTGCCTGCTCGGATAAGCCTCTAATGGCTGAACGATCAGTGACATAGGAACAGAGGTGAAGAGGAGTTCAGACACATGACAGTTCCTCCTTCCTGACAGCCGTCTGTGGGCCTATAAAATTTGCTCTATTGCCAGAGCCTTGCTGGGTATCTTTCTCACCAGTGCTCCTTGAATAGCTTTCTCAAGTGAAACAGTGATAACCTGCTTGATACTAACTTGCAATGCTAATATGTGTGCAAAAAAAAAAAGCAAAGAATGGCCCAAGTTCTTGAGAATGTGACATTTCTACCTCTGAACCACTTGGAGCTTCCTACCTTTGCGAAAAAAAAGGTTGCCAGATTCCCCATGGGTCTTCTGTGAGTTCTTCTTCATTGACTGAAAGCTGCTCCTCTCTACCACAAGCTGAAGCTCCTCCTCAGTCACTGAAATCCCTAAGAAAGCAGCTATGTTTTTCACACCCAGGGCACGATTCTGGAAAGAGGAATGTAACATGCCACATGACATTCAAGCAAATTACACTGCTTTCCAAGGTGTTTACAATTCCCTACATCTCTCTGCTAGCTATATGGATGGAATATTCATACAGTTCAGTAGGACTAGAGTGATACATAGTGTTTCTCTTCTCCATAATTATTTTGGAGGAGATATGAGCTGTTTCCCTATAGATTACAAAAGATTGTGCACGATTTACAGCTGAACATAATCTACACTGTTGAATATATAAAAGCTCCTCCCAGAAAATTATTGGGGATTTTGATTTACAATTATTTAGTCTTATAGCACAGTTAAATAAAAAACAATAACAATTTTCATAAGCAAAATTTTAAAAGGTTTTTGAGTTTGCATTTTACCTTTTCTTTACGTAAAACAAGAATCTATCCCACACAGTTTGCGTACCCTACATGAATATAATGGTGACTTGGTTTAGGAAAAAATGCTCTTTCAAGTATAAAGTATTTGTAATTATTGATAACCTCACCTCTTTTAGCTCTTCATAAGTTATTGTCATAACATTTTCTTCATCAGCATATTTGTTCCATTTGGAAAGGTATTCAAAGTAGGATCCCCAGACCACTAAATAAAACAAAAGAATCCTAAGATGTGTCATAAATGAACATTAGACAAGCTCCTTAAAAAATAAACTAAATTTTATTCATTAAGTTGATCTCTCAGCCATGGGCACTATTAATCATATCTATGGCAGAGATTACACCCTTCTGTGGAAATTATAGGTTTTGCTCCAGGCTGTTCTGGCATATGCACAAGTCTCAGGGATATGATACAATTTGTAAGTTGGAACAGTAAAACTTGTTAGTACCTCAAGGCAGATGGGGCTCCACCAAAGAGCTATCAGTACTCAAACCATCTTGCAGACTCCCTTAATCCACTTTGAAACCTTGTGTAACCCTCCCTTCAGCTGGCCGTGTGCTATGCTAAACTTATGCAATTTAAACTAGTGTTATTATTTTCTCTCCTTTTTAATGCATTAGACTTAGTCCAAATAATTCCTTAAATCCTATTTGGCATGTCTGTGTTTATATGCCTGCATGGACACAAGATGATGGACATTGGAGAGGAGAGGTGAAGAGGATCCAAGACAGAGATAAGGAAGAACTACTTCTTCCAGAAAAAATATCAGTTTAGACAAGTTAAAGCAGCTTGTGGAACTGCAGTTTTGACAGAGACTTATCCTCAAGCAGTAAGACAAGTATGATAAACTCTATTGCAAATGTCTTTCTCTCTTAAATCTGTGCTTTTGTACTGTAAACCAAAAAATCCTAGTGAAGCTGATTTACTGAAGTACAAGCTTTTTTAGACAAAGACAAAGCACTGAAAAATTGACACAGACAGAATAATATAATGTACCTTTCTTTGTCATGAAATCTGTGAAGAAATCATCCCAGGTCTCATAGGAGGGAAGAATAGCCAGGCCATTGGAGAAATGGTAAAAAGATGTAGCTAAATCTTTTGGGTTACGAATCAATAACAATATCTAGAAAAAAAATTCATTATTTGTACAGAAAGTCGTAACAGACTACAGCATGAAAACAATAATAATATACTTTATCATTGCAGTTGGGGAATTTCTAATATCTTGTATGCTACTTGCAGACATAGCAATTTCATTCCAAATTAAGAAGGTTAAGCATTTAACTTTGCTTTGGTACCATATGAAGATGATTGCTTTTAATTATTAAAGTATCTTATACAGATTAACCAAATTAATTACGCAGCATCTAAGTATGTTTTGCTCAATACAAACATAATTCATCATTTAGGTAGCAGGGAAAAAATCACAAAAATACAAATTCTCTCTGAAACTTGACACACTGAAGCTCTCACTTATGACAACACCACAAAATGTCTCCCATGGGAAATTGTGTCAAAATGCATTTTGCCTCTGCAGGATTTGTTCAAGCCCTGCAACTCCCTTATGGAGACTGTCACAAAGGTGCCAATAAGGATGAAGAGAGGTTAAGTGAGAGGAATGGCAGTTCTTAAACAGGCATGTAGAAATGGGCAGGCTAAACACTTAAGTATAAGAGTGATTCTGAAAATTGGCAGAAAAGTTCTTCATTGGCTACTAAGAAAAAAAAAACAACTGTTGAAGTGTTTGCTTTCAAGACATTAAAATCAGCACTCACCTTGACTTTATTTTTGAAGATAGACTTGGGAAGGTTTTCAGGACGGAGATGAGTAACCATAAATCTTGGAGAAGGTAATTTGGTCATTCGCTTTAGGAATTGGAAGGAGGAGAGTGGACAGTTCAGTCAGTACAAGTATTCTTTCCAATAGCCTATTCTAAAATGTTGCCTTGCTAAACTTATCAACTGTTATTGGCCGATAAAAGCACTTTTTTGTGTGTGTATGTGTTATCCTGGGATATTAGTGGGCTGCTGTGAGTAGCTCTAATCTTCAAAATCCCCTGAGAATGAGTGACTAGAGAAAGACTATCCATCATTTATTCTCTTCAGTGATAATGAATTTAACATGTTCTGGTAGACAAGGGCTCAAATCTGAAGGTAAGGTACAGACTCTAACTGGGTATATGTGAAAGCTGAAGGATCTCAAGGACTGAAAGAAGGGGTCAGGAGGAAGAGCTAGTAAAAGACATAAAAGCTAGTATTTCATTATTTGATATTTCTTGAAACTCTTCTTAAATACAGAACATGCTATGTTAAATTTCTGCAGTTCTTGTGTATCTAATAGGTAAGTGCTCCTGTCACTCTCATTGAAGTGTTCATTTATCCCTCACCATTTGGCAATCCAGACAAGATTCATCCTGACCACATGCCACATACAGAAAAGCAGGATAGTTCTTTTCAAACAGTGGAATATTTCACACCCCATATATTCAGTATTCGAAGCACATAATTTCAATAATTTTATGCATATTCTGTTCCCACCTCATATTTCTCAGCATCTCCAACTTCAAGGTAGGGGAATTCTTGTTCTTTATCACTCACACCGCTTTCTCTATCCTGTGTTTTCTTTTTGGATATGGTTATCAGGTCAGTTAAGATTTGACTTAGCCAGTTTGTGCCTGAAAGAGGAAAAACACAGAATTTCTTGTAAAAGTTTTAGAATAAACAGAAATGGATTTTCCAGGAAAGCCAGGAGGAAGGTAGTACTACTAGGTGAGTTACCTGGTCTCCTTTCATGTGATACAATCACAGCTGACTATCTGGACAATCACCTGTCAGGGTCCTACCTTTGGTCCTCATAAGGATACATTCCTCCAACTGGAAAGCTCAGGACATCGTAAATTAACTAGTATATTGTAAATTAACTTGTATATTGTAAACTAAGTAATCAAGAAGAAGAACCATTAAGATTCAACTAGGAAAACCTTCATTAATGTAATAAACATTATTGTGACGAATATAAGGGCAATTGGAATGCTAAACCTGTACCATAAAACCTAATATATTATATGTTTTTTTATGTGATGCACAGGATGGTCTTAGGAGGAAAGACAGGTCCCAGTACTTCGACATAGGAGCAGAGCTAGATCTGAAAACTCTGCTGTATGTACTCATTTGCTTTACCAATAGGAAAAAAATTCTCTGAACTGACATTTCCTATACACTTTTATTATATTTTTCTCAAAACATACCAAAGAGTCTGTAGCAAACTCCCATCTTTAGTCTACCATTTCCTGACTTTTGGATACTGGGTTCCTACATCTTTCTCACTACAGTCTTAACAACTGCAGTCTGGTGCAAGCATTTCTACAAAAAGAAAATATGATAAAAAATCAAAAACCTTGCAATCCTTTCAGCTCTAAGACAGTGCGAGCCGGTTGCTGGAGGAGAGAAACTACTAGATTAAAATGGATAGGAGATACATCTCACCCAAACCTGTGGCTCTGATAAGGGGCAGCACAGGGTACTTTCAGGCAGAAGGAGCAAAGGAGTGAAGGTTGTAAACTTACACTCCTGATTTCCTAATAAGTATTGAACAATGTGATCATTTCAAGTGCTACAAAATATTTTTGATGGCTATTTTCTGATGTCTATATGAAACAAACTAAAGAAAATGCAGCATGGCATGGGAAGGTACGGAAAGCTCAATTCTGTGTAAAAATATAAAGCTGTTAACTTTACAAAGATAAATGTGACAGCAGATCCTGTAATATGAAGAGATCTCATTATGTGTGGTGTAAATCAGTGTATTTTAATTCTCTCCAATTCATGCATTTAACTTCATAACTATGAAAAGATAACAAAAAACTTTACATATTGTAGAAACGAGATCAGATTGTTTTTCTCAGTCTTTTGGAAAATTTCCTACATAAAATCCTCATAAATAACTTTCTAGTGCTTTTTGAGAACAAAATACATTTCACAAAATTTTGCACACATTCTAAATACAATTATTTTATATTATATATTATATCATATATATTGCATATATTTAGTACAAATCCACCTATTTGCAATTATATGACCTTATTTATCAAAAAAGCAAAATATATTCACCAGATTTAGGGTATCCTGCCAAAATTACATCATCACTTCTGGCTTCAAAGGACTCCAAGGCTCTGAATGTTTCAGGACTACAAATAGTGACAGGGTAGAGAATTCCATTGTAAGAAAACAGCAGTTTATCACGAGGCAGTAAATTGGCAGCCGCTATTCCTTTATCTATAAGATCAGTAAAATGTTTCCTGGACTTATCCATTCTACTTCTCTCTCTCACACACACAGGCTCTGACACAGTGTGAAATGCTATGTAGAAGAAGAAACCCACGTTACCTTTTTATAGGTACTTGATTTGTTGGGGGGGGTTGTGTTTTGTTTGTTTGGAGGGTTTTTTGACCCTATGATAATAATTTACTACTCTTTCTGAACTGTGCCGCTCCAAAGAGTAATGGAGAAATCAATAATAGTTGAACATAAACAAACAAGACAAACAACCAAATGCAATTGCATTCTAGGAAAAAGGGCTTAGATAATTTCAAAATATTGTGTCTGTCACATGAAAAGGGGCAGAAAAGAAGCATTTTCTGTCCAAACTGTATTAATTTATTTTTTTGCTATCACTGTCCCCCAGGAGATCAAAGCCTCTTAACGTCCAAAACAGTCTGTTAGCGTCTCACCTAATGAGATCCTTGGCTTAACAGATTCACCAAGACTGATAGGATATTTGATACCTTTTATATGTGGACTGCACTTAATAGCAGTAGAAAAACCTCTCAGCAGGTTTCTCCTATGAGTTATTTCGCCGTCAACAAAACTGTCAGCACCTGAAAAGGAACTCACTCCAACAGTTCACAAAATAACATGTTTATTAATACAAATCTATGATAATTTATGGTGTTTGCTTTGCCTGGAATAGGGTCTAACTGCAAAAAAAGCACACTTATACTATGTAGTAATAACAATAATACACACGCTAAAGCAAAAGCAACTTACAATGAAGTAATAAGTAAAAATTTTAAAGTTGTGTGGAACAAAAGTAAAATTAGTGCATATGTATAAAGCAATCACTAACCTCACGGCATTCCAAGAAGGTGGAGGGAGGAAAGGTAGACCTTCGGTTACCTCCGCGGCATTGATGGAACTTCTCCCTGATTTCTGCTTATGTCCAATATCTTTTTATACCTTTTTCTTTAGGCAGTTTGAGTGGCTCTACTCAATAAACTAATTTTTGGGGTGATAGACAGATTAAATAGGCCCAAGGGTCCACTTCCCAAGTTCAGGGGTCAGGATGTTCAGGAAGAAAGGCCGTGTTATCTCCATATCACTCCTTTCTTTAATCCTTTTATCAGTTCCTGGGAATGTCTCCCCCAGCGATGGGTTTTTCCGGGAAACCATCAGGAGCCTTTTTCTTCTTTTGTGTGGCCTTACCTATCACCTTATACTGCCAACAAAAAGCCATGATTGCAACACAGAGTTTGTAAAAAAAAAAAAAAACCAAACAAAATAGAATTACATAAATTGCAGACTGGAATTTAAATGTCAAAATCCTAAAGGCAATTAATCTCTTTCCAGTACTCACTCTGCGGGAAATTTCTTTTTTTTTATTATCTCACCAAAGTTAGATCAAACTTGTTGAGATTGGGAGAGGAAATGTTCAGTGTGCTAGAGACTGAGCTGTGGGCAGTCCCGTGAGGGTGGCAGACTGCTCCCTCCAGCTGGTGCCCAGGAGGGCACAGGGGCACATGCAGTCCTTGGCCACTGTTCAGACTGTGGTACAGAGTTCTATTTTTCTGGCGGTTACACGGAAATAACTTATTTATACATTTCCTTAATGAGCTCAATCATTGTTTAACAATTGATCCGTCATTCCTCAGTTGGTAATAATATAACCTCAGCTACAATGATTAGCATTTATAATGTACTTAAGGTGATGAGCTTCTGAGTGCACTGACCTCAGCAGAAAAACTGGTGTTAGGCTTTAATACACAAGTCTCTGTCAAAAGGATGGATGGGTCACAAGGAACAAGAAAATAGCTCCTCCAAAAAATTTATGCCAAGCACTTAAATACCATGCTTTCCTATCTCCAGCTCTTGAATGCTGCCTGTTAGGCACTTGAAGCACGAGGACCAGCAACTACCTACCTGTGTACTTTTGCCATTTGCTCTCTCTGAGGGATTCACACCTGGTCCCTGAGGCATGGGATGATGTAGCCCTACATTTTACTTACAATTATGTTCAATCCATACAAAATCTTTTGCTTTTCCCTTCGTCTCCTATTCTTTGTGCGGCTGTATCAACATAGAAAGACTACCTATGTACAGGCATGATCTGAAACAAGTGGATAACATATGGCTCTTCCTGGATCCATCTGCTGAACAAGATCTGGGCCAAAGGGCAGCCAGTTGGCCCCACCTGCATCACTGCACTGATGTTAGCTAAAAGTTGCTGAACCTTGAAATAGCACCTTTGCTGATTCTTGAGGTATAACCAGCCACCCTAGCAAAACAAAAAGCAGCTTGCTTATTTTTTTGCCTTACATTCCCTTGGCATTAAACTGTTGTGGACTGAAGCTAAGAAAATGTGTTTAATTGGTATTTTTACCTGCTGGAAAAAAAAATTAGTTGGGACAGTCCTCCCTCAGGATGGAAAAAGAGAGAAAATGGTATGTAAATTATTAATGTACCTCATGAAATAGCATAGCGTTGGAGTAGGATTTCCATAACAGAAAGACAACTCATTTCAATCCTACACTTCACTTATCACAGAATAATCCAACGAAATTTTGATAGCAAAAATGCAGAGGGTTTACTGTGTATTTTCGCAAGAGAGGGCACTCAGGCCAATTATTCTCTGGAGGCATGTTTTATCCCTAGGAACCAAAAAAAAAAACCCCAAAACCAAAACCAAACCAAACCAAACCAAACAAAAACAACAACAACAACCAAAAAAAAGACAAAAAGATCCCAAACAAATAAACAAAACAAACAAAAAAACCAAACCAAACCAAAACAACAAAAAAACACACCAAAAAAACCCAAAAAACAAACAAACAAAAAAAACAAACCAAAAAAAAACCCACAAGAAATGTATTAATGGAGAAAAAAACAATTAGAAGACATAAATCATGAGGAGTGATATTGAGGGGAGTTAAATTTCTCGGCAAAAAAAGCAGCAGCATCAAGATTTACAAATATGAGCCTTTGATACAGGCACCTGCCATGACAGCTGAGCTGGGAGATGGGAGCGATGTACCTCACCCCATATGCATTACACAAGACCCTCTGATCCTGCTAAATACTGAACAAAGAGACTGACAGAAAGTATCAGTTGATTTAAAGTTTCTAAGAAGCAGTTTTAAAAACACAGAGATTAAAAACAGATTAAAGGATTTTATAATCTCCAGATTAATGGTATTTGTTGTTCTAGCCACCACAGTTCCTCTAAAGGATTCTGGCTTCCCATGTGTGGAGTTTTGGAAAAAAAATTTTAAAAAGCTAATTTCAGAAGTTTTTCTACAATTTGTTCTAATGTGTGTAGAGAAGTTTTCAGATAGGCACAATTCAGTATGGGGGAAGGTAATTATATTACAATTTATTACTTACACAATAAATACTATAATACTTATATATACATATATATAACAATTTTAACTATCTCTTCTATGGTGAAACAATATATATACATAGACCGTCTGTCCTTTCCTTCAAAAAAGCCCAGAAAGAAAGAAGTCTTCTTTTTACTTTGAGGTCACAGCTCTTCCAAATTAATTTCTGTGGCACTTGGAAGTGTCTCTTATCTTTAAGGCAGTAGTTTTGATTTGTTGTAGCCAGAATTCTTCTTTCTTCTAAGGAGTGTGGGGGGTCTGCCCCCACTTCTTGCTCCTCGGCCACCTCGTCCAAGGGTATTACCGTGGGTTTCAGGGGAACACCTCTGTCACCACGTCTGCAGCACGAAGTGCAATGGGTTAAAGTTTAAAGTCTTTATCCCTTGCTCTTGCTCCTGAAGGGAGCCTCCAGGGACTGAAGCTCTCAGGAGACTTCTTTGGGGATTTCCACCCCTCCTTCCCGGGGTCAAAGAGTTCTAAGGGCTTTCAGTTTAGTTTAGTTTAGTTTAGTTCAGATTAGACCACTATCTCTTGTCTACAGAAGTATACCCTTTTTGGTCTTTCTGCTACCCAAAACTTTCCACATCTCTTCTAAACTTTCTTCTCACAGCTTTTTTTCAGCCTCAGCTTTGCTATCTCTGGAGAGTTTCCATTCTTGTAATCCCCACCCTGGAACAAACTAGGAAATAAGCAATTTTCCACAGCTTTCATCATCTTTATTAATGTATTGGCTAGTTCCCAAAGTTGCAATGTCACCTACACGCTCTCTCCTGTTAATACTCCACTAGATAATGTGAAAGAACAAGCCATTAAATACAGAGAATGTCACGGCACACAATGATGGAGAAATAATCTTCTTACACTAACTTGAAGATGTCAGATGTGTGTTAACAGACTCCCTAAGCCACCATCTGGTTTCAGAGGGTATGGAGTTAATATTCTTCCCAGCAGCTGGTACAGAGCTGTTTTTGATTCAGAACGAAAATAATGTTGATAACACACTGATGTTTTGCTTGTTGCTATTAGTGCTTATCCCAAGTCAAGGACTTTTCAGTTTCCCATGCTCTGCCAGCCAGCAGGTGCACAAGAAGTTAGGAGAGAGCATGGCCAGGACAGCTGATCCAAACTGTTCAAAAGGATATTCCATACCACAGAACATCATGCTTAGTAAATAAATGGGGGGGAGTTAGCCTAGAGGGGCCATCCGCTGCTCAGGCATGGGCTGTGTGTCAGTCAGCAGGTGGTGAGCAATTGTACCGTGCATCACTTGTTAGTCCTGGGTTTTATTCTCTTTTTCCTTTTTGAATAATTATTAGTTATTATTAATTATTATTACTTTCACTGTTATTATAATTATTTCTGTTATTAAACTGCTCTTTTCTCAACCCTCAGGTTTTATCTATTTCTGATTGTCCTCCCTATCCCACCAGGGGCAGTGGAGGGTGGGGAAGTGAGAGAGTAGTTGCGTGGCACTTAATCACTGGCTAGGGTTAAACCACAATACACCAAAACAAATTTATTTCCTTGCTTGTTTGTTTTATCTGATCTCTCCCAACTATATTGGTCAAATTACTGTAAAAGGCTGGAATTCTCTGACTAGAACTTTATTACTATATAAATGTCAGGAGCCAGGCCAGTGATCTCAAGAAGTCTTCTGTTGCCTCATTGTGTATCTACACAACTTGACATTAAAAGAGGAAGGGGAAGAAACAGGAAGGA